ATTAGTTAAAGCCATGCGAATAGTCAATCAACTTGCAACTTTTCTGTAAGAGCAGAATTTTCGCGTACGTTTTTCCTTCAAATAAATTCAAGAATTGAGCCCCAGGGCATCAATTCTGTATCTTGCGATATAGTGAACATGCTAAAACTGAACGGCTTGGTCTCTTTCTAAGGGGACAGGTGGAAGGAGACAAAGCTACTCGCTTTTAGCATTTTCGCTATAGTGTAAAGGCTAGTCTACAATACATGGAGTAAGCTGGAGTAAGGAGTAGGAGTAAGGAAATAAATCCATTTTATTTCTTACTCTTACAGCTTACTTCAGCTCTTAAGGCCTATGTCCACGATGCTAGAACTTGATTCAAGTTCTAGCATCGTGGACACAAGGCTTTTAGGCTTACTCTCGGAGAATCAGAATGCCATCAATCAGTGTTACAAATATTTTAAAAATTATGCCCGTATTTCAGCTGCCTTACACCAAAAGCTAGAAGTTAGGGCTCTCTCTTACTCCTTACTCCACGTATTGTAGACCGGCGCTAAGATACAGAATTGACCTCCAGAAGAACAGATTCACGATCGAGCTCCTTATCTCGACCGAGCCGACGGAATACCGCGCGGACACCCAGTATAAACCGCGCGGCGTTGCGAGCGAGCACGTGACGGCGTGGCGATTTGGCGAACCGCGTCGTCATCATCGGTGCAACTGGGTGCAACGCGATGCAGCGTGTCGGTGCGGATGGTGCGATCCTTCCCTTCGCGCGGAGACGCGAGTTCCGTTCGCCGAGCGTTCGCCGGGGGTGCGCGGGGCCAATCGCGGACGATCGCGCGCCGCGATAAGCCAGCGGTTGCCCGCGGGTGTACCGTCGTCTCTCCCTCGGGCGGGCCTCGACATAACCTCAAAACGGGTGGAGGCGCCCGTCGTTCGTTTTTCCTCCTCCCCGGGCGCGACGCGCAACGACGTCGTTGCGCGGCACGTCGCGCGCGCGCGCTCGCGCGACGATCGATGCAATTAAAGGGGGAGAATTATTCATCGGGGGGTTTTACAGGCGATCCTCGAGCCGCGCGTCGCGGTGCCGACGTCGTCGCTTCCCCCGCCGTCATCGTCTTCCCGTTGTCGTTCTCCCGATGCGGCGACACCGCCGTTGCTGCTGCTGCTCCGATCCGGGTGCCGCACGCGTGAGACAGAGCGAGAGATAAAGAGAGACGCTCGTGGTATCGCTCGTCTGCGCGGAGAACCGGACATGGGACGTCGGCAAGGGCGTAGCGCGCGTGTAGGCATGTGAGATACGTGTTGCGCGGGCAGGGAGGCGAGAGAAAGAGAGAAACAGATTGGGAGTAGAGATCTCGGCGGTGCGCGCGTCATCGACGGGGCCAAGTCATGGATGTCGCCGCCGCGAAGCTGGTGCAGTGGTTCAACGAACTCAGATCCCGGGTGCATCTTTACCTGCACGCCCAGACCCGTAAGTCGTGTCCCCGGAGGAGGAGGAGGAGGAAGAGGTGGCGGAGCCGGGTGGGTTGGAGGAGCCGATCGAAGTTGAATAGTTAAAGAGCCGCCGGGAACGTCCGGCGCTCGCCACGTGAAGCCGACCGGGATGATTTTCACCTGGTCATCTCGTAACGATTTAACGTCGCTCCGACGACGCTCGTCGGCAGTCCCGCCTCGAAATTTTCCGGGGCGCTTTTCCAAGGGTGCGTTCGAGAGCTCGCTATTTCTATTCTGTCTTCCTTCGACGCGCAATGCGCGATAAAGCAAAGGTAGATCGACACTTTCAGCGCTAAGTAACGCTGATAGTGAGCGCCCGAACGCACCCCAAGAACGCTGTCGCGCGACTGTTGGAATTTCTGTTGTCACGGCTTGCGCTTTATCCCGCACCGTGAGCGAACAACGGGCGCTGATACGCTCGAGAGTTTCTGATAAAGATTCCTCGTTGTAATATGAGAATGCGTCCGGCTGTAAATGTATTATGCATCTGCGGTATCGTTAGCATTATTGTGTGTTTTTTAATAATTAATGCAACGTAGATAATTTATGCGACGTAGAGGAAAGGCCTCTGTTATGAGAAAGCAGGTTTTCAACGCCCAAATTCAATCACAAATCTTTCTTCGCAACGATTACACGATCTAACAATGAATTTTCCACTAAACAGATAATAGGAGACTTTCTTCTATGCGATGATAACGTCGCGTATATTATTGGGGCTAAATTATGGCCAACCGCTCACGTCGAGGTTCCGCGAAAAACGTACCTGTTGGATTATTCATTAAGCGCACTTATCTCGCTTTCCCGCCGCAATCCGCTTATCTTTTATTCCATTGACGTAGCTGCTATTCTCGAGTGTTCTAAAATTGCGGAAATCCGTTCTGTGGCGAGCAAACGAATCCGCAACGTCACTCTTTGCATATTGACGCCACGTATTTTCGGCGCGTTGCTTACAGTACTGCTGAATTGTTTACGCGAAAGTGCACGCGAAGTATCGTGCCAATTGAAACATGTGGGGTTTAATATAGGTATTGATTACGGACATTCGTATACAGACTGCGCAAAGATCTCTTCTGTTTCAATAAAGTCAAAATACGTCCGAATAAGCAGGGTATTGCATTTGTCGTACGACAAATGCAACGATACCCTAAGGGCCTGAGCTGAATGGCTGTCTTGTGCTCTTAAGACAATATTTTATGTTTTAAATCTTCGTCTTAAAGTAAGGGCCTGTGAGCAAAATGGCTGTCTTGTATTATCTTAAGTCACAGACAGTTAGGGCCTGAGCAGAATGGCTGTCTTATACTCTTAAGACAGCCTTAAGACAATGCTTTATGTTCTAAGTCTTTGTCTTGAGGTATCGCACAATAACTGTCTTATGTCTTAAGAGTACAAGACAGCCATTCTGCTCAGGCCCTAAGGCTGATGCCAGAGAACGATCCCTTAAGACTGTCTTAGTCATAGACGTGAGGCAAGGCAGAGAAAAACGTAAGTCGTATACAATATCCTTTCACGACTTAGTTTTTCTCTGCCTCGCCTTACGTCTACGACCAGTCTTAGGCGTTTACGGATCGTTCCCCGCCGTCAGCCTAACGCTAATTGAATCCAACATTCGATTGTCACTTGATTCCTTCTATTTATCCGGCGCCGAAGGAAAATAAAGAAAGGCAGATACACAAATATAGCCGACACTGAAGTCGGTATTGCGTCTTAAACGGTGGGCGATAGGCGTGGATTACGCGCGACGCGAGGGGTAAACCGCTGAGGGTATTGTGGTGTACAGATTTCGGGCATTACTAGGCACTTTTTGGGCACTAGTGGGTGTTATTCGGTCTTGCTGGGGCATGATAAAAAATCGAAAAAGATAAAACAAGATGAAGTAATGCCCACTGGACATTAGTAGGCATTGGTGTGATCTTGGGTCAGCGGTTAACCCCTCGGCGCGACGCTAAACCGAGGCCTCCCGCGTAAGCCGCAGTCTACAATAGGTGATGTAAGGCCCGGTGTTTCATCAAACATCGCTTAACTTTAATCTTGGTTTAATTCATGTTCGTCTCTCTCTAAAGTAACAGTTGGAAAGAGATAAGAACGAATTAAGCTAAGCTTAAAGTTAAACAACGTTGGTGAAACCAGACTTAAGTCCTAAGTCCTAAGCCCTAAGAAATTGACCAATCACCATCGAGTATTCTCCTCATATTTTACTGCAATCGGTCGTTTTCTTAAATATTACGTCTTAAAGATCTCATTGTATGACGCCGTATTAGTCCCAGTCTACAATAGACGATTTAAACCCCAAGCCTTAGGAAATTGATCAATCACAGTCCAAAATGAGGCGAATACTCGATTGCGATTGGTCAATTATTCTCCTCACATTCGATTGTGAAAGGTCGCTTTCTTAAATCTTACGTCTGAAGAATCTCATTGTAGACGCCGCATAAATCGGCGCCGCCGATACTCGCGGCCGTGTTTATCCTTCAAGTTTACCAAGCTCACGTATGATACTTTAATAGCGGTCATTTGCGCCGCGAATCGTTCGTGTCGCGACACGACTGTCACAGTCCCGCCTGCGTGGGCGGAACACAGCTATAGAAGAAATATCCCAGCGCGATACGAATGCCATTTATGTCTACGGGCGTAATAGCGCGCTTATACGATCGGAATCCCCGATAAAGTAGCGTGACTTTGTTCTTTACATTAACCTTTCCTTCGCCGGCGGTATTTCTGTATCTGACGAGTGGAGAAATGCGGCACGTTTCACAGAGGGAGGCCCGCGGGAAATATAAAACTGTCGATTTCCTTCCGGGATAAATTGGATAGTAATCTCCCGTAAGAAATCTGTCTCGCTCGCTCGCGAGAAGATTGGAAAACGGAGAACGTTCGATTGTATTGTTCGTTAGTTTAAATTGAGACTTAAAAAATATACGCACGGATACGTAACACGCGAAGCACGTGGCGTCATGACGGATCAATTATTGATTGTAACTCCGAATTTGAACGCAGAGGGAAAATCGAAATCTACTTTGCTCACGGGAGAAAATTACGCCAAAAACGGAGGACGTTTGATTAAATTATTCATTAAGCTAAATTTGTCAATATTTCATTGAATGGTTGATTAAAATAAGATTTAAAAATATAAGCGCATGGATACGTAATTACGAGACACGTGGCGCAACAGCGGATTATTTATTGATCGTAACTCCGACTTTAAACGAACGGGGAAGATCGAAATCTATTTTGCTCGCGGGGAAGGATTACACGGAAAATGGAGAGCGTTTGATTAAATTATCCATTCAAGTATTGATTGACACCGAGACTTAAAAAGTATAGACACACGGATATATAATAGCGAGGCACGTGGCGTTGCGGCGGAATAATTATCGATTCTAACTACGAACGTAAATGAAGAAGGAAAATCGAAGCGACTAGAGATCTAGCCCGAGATTATGGAAATGTTATACATGCATCGTGCGAACGATATATACGTTTGTAAAACTATATTTATATCGAATGGATTTCGTGTGTTTCAGTTGGTCCGGTAAGGACGGAAAATGGCGGCTCACAGGGCGACGATCAACCGGCCGCGCAACAGAATGGCGGCGAGGAGAGGGTCATTTTCGTCAATGCCCCCCATCAGCCGGCGAAGTACAAAAACAATCACATTACCACCGCGAAGTACTCATGTCTGTCGTTCGTACCTCTGTTCCTGTTTGAGCAATTCCGCCGCTACAGCAACTGCTTCTTCCTGTTCATCGCACTCATGCAGGTAGAGGGTCCACGCAGAAGTTAGGATTGTCGTACGGCAAATGTAATGCCAGCCTTATGCGGGTGTAACGTGATACGACGAACGGAATTCGTTAACAGTTGTGTTTTGCAAACGCTTCTGCAAACACAACGCTGGAACAAGCAACTCCGTCAAAACGGACTTCAAATTTCTCGTTTTAAATTACGGAAATTATTAAGGTGCTTTTTTGTTGGAGTTTACGTTGGCTTTTTTTCGAGCTAAAGAAATGACGCCAATTTATTTTCCATCAACTATTCTAACTTCCAAGTTCTGTATATAGGACGTGTAGTCTGTGTAGTCCACATGTACCAAAATAAAAAATAATCCGTTTGACGTATTCTCGTTGAATCTCGTGGCTGCATTCGAAATTTGTACTATCGACGGCGCTTAACATTCTTCCCGATTTAAATTTAGCAAATACCAGACGTGTCGCCGACAGGTCGCTGGACAACATTGGTTCCACTGATTTTCATCCTCAGCGTGTCCGCTTTGAAAGAGATAGTCGAGGATGTTGTACGTATATTCGTTGTAATTTCTCATGAAAATTGTGTACGTTCGTTACATACTTTTCCTTATCGATGACCGTATAAATAAGAGAAGTATTTGTCAATTTTCAGAAGAGGCACAGAGCGGACGATGAAACAAACATGAGAGAGGTGGAGGTGCTGAGGGAAGGGCGCTGGCAGTGGATACAGTGGCGCACCATAGCCGTCGGCGATGTGGTTAAGGTTGGCTGTTTGCGCCACAATCGTTCACGCGATAATAATTAATCGCCGGCTTACGTCCCGTCGCTAGAATCGCTCTGTTTAATTATGCACAGATTCACAACAACACTTTCTTCCCCGCCGACCTAATCATGCTGTCGTCGTCGGAGCCACAGGGTATGTCCTTCATAGAGACCGCCAACCTGGACGGCGAGACGAATCTCAAAATCCGACAGGCCCATCCCGACACTGCCAATCTCTTGGATACCGCGGAACTGATGAACTTTCGCGCCAACATCCAGTGCGAGCCGCCCAACAGGCATTTATACGAGTTCCACGGGGTCCTGCGGGAGACCAATAAACAGTAAGCGCAAACGTGCAAAACACGGCCATCAAGTACATTTCCTCTCTTCACTGCACGCCTCGCCTCCACCTTGCCTTGCGGCAATCCGATTTTAATAACGGATCAATCCTCTCGCATATCCGGATCGCTTTATTCCTCCTCAGTTCGTTATCCTATCCATTTATGAAGCTTTAAATGTCTGTGTCGTATTTTCATGAATGAAAATGTCCTGGCATTCGTTAAAGTTTCAACATCTTTCTGTCGTGCGACAGTTGATGCGTCGTTACGTCACAAGCGGCATTGTTCTTCCACAGGAGCGTAGCTTTAGGGCCCGATCAATTGTTACTACGTGGCGCGATGTTGCGGAACACACGATGGGTGTTCGGTGTAGTGATATACACGGGACACGACACGAAACTCATGCAGAATAATACCGCGACAGCGCCGTTGAAACGATCCACCCTGGATCGGTTGATCAACACGCAGACACTGATGCTATTTTTCATACTTCTTCTGTTGTGCATTCTTTCCGCGATATTCAACGTCGTGTGGACGAACGCCAACAAGGAGAACCTCTGGTACCTGGGATTGCAAGGTAAGCATGCGGCGCGCGTTGCCTCCCGCTGCACGTATCCCGAGGTTACTCAAGCTACGCTCTTCTTCTCGTTCCAGAGGAAATGACTAAAAACTTCGCTTTCAATCTACTGACGTTTATTATTCTCTTCAATAATTTAATACCCATATCGCTGCAAGTGACGCTCGAGGTGGTGAGATTCGTTCAGGCCACGTTTATTAACATGGACATAGAGATGTATCACGCGGAGACGGACACTCCGGCGATGGCGCGTACGAGTAATCTGAACGAGGAACTCGGGATAGTTAAATACATATTCACGGACAAGACCGGCACCCTCACCAAGAACGTCATGGAGTTCAAGCGGTGTTCAGTCGGCGGAAGACTGTATGAGTAAGTACCAACGGTGCACCTTTTTTTTCACCACTGTGAAAACTGATAATTCCAATATACTCATTTTCCTGGGTGAACATTTCGTAGTTTGCCAAATCCCTCGAACGGCGACGAAAGTACGAGTGACAGCAATTGCGAGTTAATTAGGGATATTATGGAAGGGAGGTCCGTACAGGACCTGTCGAATCCTGCCGACAAGAAGAAGGCGGAGCACTCAGTTATACTCCACGAGTTTATGGTCATGCTGTCGGTTTGCCACACGGTTATTCCCGAAAAACTGGACGATTCCATCCTCTATCACGCTGCGTCTCCTGGTAAAAATCGCTTGCGCATATTTCTGCTAGCACGATGCGGCGCTTGACGAATTACATTACATTCCTCCTTCTTCGTGTTAGATGAAAGAGCGCTGGTGGACGGGGCGCGTAAATTTAACTACGTGTTCGACATGCGGACGCCCAGTTACGTGGAGATCGTAGCTCTGGGCGAGACGCTGCGATACGAAATCCTGAACGTTATCGAATTCACTTCGGCCAGGAAATGTATGTCGGTGATCGTCAAGACGCCCGAGGGGAAAATAAAAATTTTTTGCAAAGGCGCAGACTCGGTTATTTACGAAAGATTGATGTCGACCTCTCTGGAGACTAGCGATCTTGACTTGGAGCACGCGGACGATTTTCGCGAGACGACCCTGGAGCATTTGGAAGCTTTCGCCAGTGACGGATTACGAACGCTTTGTTTCGCCTCCGCGGAAATACCGGAGAACGTTTATCAGGTGTGTATTCTATCTTATTTCAAACGATCGAGTTAATAAATTGGTCGAATAACTTTTGATAACTTTTCACAGTGGTGGCGCGAATCGTACCATAAAGCGTCAATTAGTATGAGGAATCGCGAGACTTTGTTGGAGCAGGCTGCGAATTTTATTGAGAGTAAACTCACGTTGTTAGGGGCAACCGCAATTGAAGATCAACTACAGGATCAAGTATGGAATATTGTTAACTAATTAAATAGTTTAAATGTCAACGAAGCCAATACTTCGTACGTTTTGCAACATCGTATAATTTTAGGTCCCGGAAACGATACAGGCTTTTATACAAGCCGATATCCATGTCTGGGTATTGACGGGAGATAAGCAGGAAACCGCGATAAATATCGGTTATTCGTGTAAATTGTTAACTCATGGGATGCCACTTTACATTATTAATGAATCTTCTTTAGACGTAAGTAAATGATTATCCAGGTTTTAAGCGTCTTAGTCGACCTAACGCTAAACATCTCACCGTAATGTTTTACAGAAAACTAGAGAAGTCATCATCCAACGCTGTCTTGATTTCGGGATTGACTTAAAATGCCGAAACGAAGTGGCCCTGATCATAGACGGCAGTACGTTAGACTACGCTTTGTCTTGCGACATTAGGATGGAGTTCTTGGAATTATGTTCAGCTTGCAAAGTCGTTATCTGCTGTAGGGTATCGCCGATTCAAAAAGCTGAGGTAACATTTTAATTCTAATGCTTCAACCTTACATAATGTTCAATCGATCATGTTTTTTCTCATTTAGGTGGTTGATCTAATCACGAGTAACAAGAAAGCGGTGACTCTTGCGATTGGGGATGGCGCGAACGATGTGGCTATGATACAAAAAGCTCACATCGGCGTCGGTAAGTTCTGTCGCGCCTGTCAACTGCCGTCGAATATTTTTATATTGTTGAAACATCGCGACGTTTCGTTTCTCCTGCAGGCATCTCGGGTGTGGAAGGTCTTCAAGCGGCCTGTGCCTCGGATTACTCCATTGCACAGTTTCGTTTCCTTAAACGTCTGTTATTCGTTCACGGCTCTTGGAATTATAGCAGAATGTGTAAATTAATCTTGTATTCGTTTTACAAGAATATCTGTCTGTATGTCATCGAACTATGGTTTGCCATCTATTCCGGTTGGTCCGGACAGATCCTTTTCGAAAGATGGTCCATTGGGCTTTACAACGTCGTAAGTTTTTAAAAACCCGTACACTATTGTTCCGCTAAAGAATAGAGTTAATTTTTAATGGGTTTGATGCATTTTATAGGTTTTTACCGCTGCGCCTCCGTTAGCTATGGGTCTCTTTGACAAAGTATGTTCTGCAGAAACTCACTTGGCTCATCCGGGACTGTACGCGACGAAGAATAACGGCGAGTCATTCTTCAATATTAAAGTAAGTACACTTTTACATGAATAATGCTAAATTTATAAATGTAGCAGTATTTTTTTTTAAGTTAGACGTCGATAAATGTATTTGTATGCTTAAACAGGTATTTTGGGTATGGATTATGAATGCGCTGATTCATTCGTTGCTATTGTATTGGCTGCCGCTATTGGCTCTGAAACAAGACGTAGCTTGGGCAAACGGTAGAGACGGTGGTTATCTTCTACTAGGAAACTTTGTTTATACCGTAAGTCTCATACGAACTTTACATCACGACCCTTTACATTATATCACAAGCCTACAAAAGAGATTATCTATGTGTCGTGTGGCACCTCAGTATGTTGTAGTAACTGTATGCGCGAAGGCGGGTCTAATAATAAACTCGTGGACATGGGTCACCCACTTGGCGACGTGGGGTTCTATTATACTCTGGTTCTTATTTATTTTTATATATAGGTAAGTTTCAAACGTAATATCTCGTTACAAGTCTCCTAACACGCATTAATAACGACGTAATGTGTCTAATACGTTCTCGTTGCTGCAGTAATTTTTGGCCCGTCTTGAACGTGGGCGCTGTGATGTTGGGCAATGACAAGATGTTATTTTCTTCGCCTGTCTTTTGGCTGGGGCTTATATTAATACCTACCGCGGCGTTATTACTAGATGTCACAGTAAAAGCGTGAGTACGGATGCTACAAAACACTCGATATACATATATTTTGTACTTATATGGCGATGGTTTCTATCGTATTAGAGTGAAGAATACAGTTTGGAAGTCCGTAACGGAAGCAGCCCGAGAGAACGAAATCAGGAAATCTGATCCTGGTGATATTTTCAACAATCAGGATTATAGAAGCTCGTAAGTGCCTCCATTTCTTTTGTTAAAGACTAACACATAGAGAGTATGCAAGGTTACACTCGAAGTAATGGAAGACGTGTTTCCTAAATGTTATTTTTGAAAGGAAAATGTGACATTTTGCTAATGGTGAAAGGCTGCATTATTATTATTACTGACAATGTAGGCTACCCGATAATCAAAGTATCAATTTACCATTAATTTGTTTCATTATCTTCTGAAAGGGTTAACGTATATCACAGAAAAGAATTTGATTGACTGATGCATGAACCGTTAATAACCATATTGATATATTTTGTCCTGTTGACTTATTGAAACTGTGCATGGCTTTCTAGCTCCATTACCGTGAATTATTTATATCTGAAAACAGATTTATATTGCCTGAGTGGTCTCATTAAAACTGGGAACCAGAGATCCTCTATTTTTAGGTGCATGTATGTAACAATCATCTAATCTAATTACGGTAAACTTATTTCCTAAACTAACACTGTCGTTTGTCTGCTCGTTTACGTGTTAATCGTTTTTCTGAGTGCATTTTGAAAGTGATAAACGTTTTACTATGTTTATTACCAATACCGTTGCCTCCTAATCGAGCAGATAAATATGAATTATGACAGGGGGTCGCCGAAGCAATGGTTAAGTCGATATTGGACCTTGATCTGTTCGCGACGAAGACGCAGTAGGCTGAGAGTGTTTCCGTTAGTAGCACGTGGCTCGTGGTTCACGCACCGTTCCGAGCATGCATCAACCGCAACACTTCAGATTTCATATTCCTGAATAATTCCGTCCATCCGTCCATACTTCCAAGTCTTCCAAGAGTGCCAAGTGTAGTAAGCGTTTTAATATATGCGATTATTTATGCGTGCATACATTCCTTTCGAATGCATTATTAAAATTAGAGCACGACATGTCCTGTCCCATACAGCACCAAAGCTTTCAGAAGCATTTCAGAAAACATTGTTGCAATGTTTCAATGTTTCTGAAATGTTTCTGAAAGCTTCAGTGTTGTATGGGGTACAATACAAAGTGCTGTCTTTTACACAGCGATACTCATTTTTTCCTATACACATACGTACGTGCTACGAAATATTCGTACGGCATCCGCTTATCCAGAAATATATTTATACTTCTTGTTTGAGTTATATTAAATTGAAATGTATATGTACATTTCTTATATTTTTTTATATTTGGTATAATATTCAAAGAGTACAGTTATAATTATTTAATAATTATTAATATAATTTAATTATTATATGTTTATTTAATTAGATATGTATTGAATATGTTGTATGCGATAGAATCTCTCGCACGTCTTTTGTTTCTAGTTTCCATTACTTTGCAGAAGTATAAAAGATAACGACGTGCTGCAGATTCCATTGTATACAGGGTGTACTAAAACCACCGGATATCCTTTTAGTAACAGATTCTTTAGAAAATTTCAAGGCGAAAATTCTAATACAAAAATGTCGAGGCTATAATAGTTTTTAAATAATAAGCGATTATATCTCACAAATGATGTCGCCGTGCCTGAGCGCGCGAAATCTCAGGCCTGTCATTGGTGAAGTATACTCGCTTATTATTTAAAAAATATTATAGCCTCGACATTTTTATTATTAGAATTTTCGTCTCGAAACTTTCTAAAAAGAATCTGTGATTAAAAGGATATCCGGTGGTTTTAGTACACCCTCCATACGTGAATCTCTCTGATATATTTTCTGTTATCATTATCATTGTTATTAACCCTGCCTTTATTGTTTTAAATTAAAGATTTACTTTACACATCCTTCATTTAGCACCATCAATTAATATGTACCTTCCCTATTTCCGTACAGTACTGATACGGCAATCAGGGCCCTATGTTTTTTTTCATCCCCTATACATACGTGCACATAAAATATTCCAATGGAGCTAGATTATTATTATATTCAGACTTCCACGTATACGATGAGTAATGTAGCATTATGAGTGCCCATATACCCTGCCACTCTCTTAAAATAATAGAGCTTGTAGAATTAACGGTGTTATCAGCTATACTATACTAATGTTCACTGTAAACGATTTGTCGTTCGTTAATGCGGTCTTTTTCTGATGTGTTCTCTTACGTGTGGTATCCCGTGCAGACCTGTGCATGCCATCGCCGATCTCGCGAGGTGTAAGTACTTCCCAGTAGCAGTACAGAGAGTTCTCTCATTGTCAGTGCTCCCAGTTATACCTTCGTTACCACACTACGAACAAGCGAGAACACCGCTGATTAAACGAGATCGCATGGTCGTTTGATGTAGCGCTGGATATAGAAAGGCATAGAGAGCACAGCGATTTGAAAACGGCAATCACGCAATTTTCTCACGAGGTCTCGATGTAGCTCACGATGATTCCTATGATAGTAATTGTGACTATTTTACTCACGCTTGCGCTCGCATACGTATACACCCGGCTTATCAGCGGCGCGCATGTTTGATTAACTAATTAATTTTCTAACGAGCGTAAAGGGAGTATCGATTTTACCCTTTGCGAATAAATTAGCATGCACCCCCTCACGATCTCTACACGTACGCACGCATACGATTAGTGTATGTGTGTGTGATTTCCACCCCGTTCTCTTATTTAATTCCCGCACGGTAACTGCATCGCACTTACTGTCACGTTGTACATACATCCGTAATATCCGTCGGTGTGAAAGAGAAAAAAAGACTCGCTCGCGTTTGAGATTGGAAAAGCACCGTCGGCCGAGAACGTCGCCGAAGGCGAGGGATTGTAAGAGCGACGATTTAGACTGACAGACACCGAGCAAAAATAAAGAAACATATTAATTCGTCGTGTTTTGACCCATGCGACGCGAGGAGGCTCCCCCGGCCAGCCGAGAATCTCTTAAATCATTACTGAATTACCCGGCTTTGCAGATTGACCGAGACGGCGAGGCTGCTGAAAAATGTTAAAAGCGTTTTCACCAGGCGCTCGAACGCCGCCTCCAGAGTCAGTGTCGAGGTGGAGCTATCACGTAAGTTGTCTCTTCCACAGACACTCGCACACAGTCGGAGATATTCCCGTGTACGACGACCCGGGGCCGGTATCCACCTCCCTAATCGGTCCTCCGAATCGATCGTGACCCCCGTGGCCCTCGCGAAACTACTGGGGTGAACTGTTCGAAAGTGTCCCTTTTCGTACTTTACTTCCGCACGCGCTTCAATTCTTCACGGCTTTCCGTTATTCTCGTCCGCCCGTCCGTCCGTAAGCTTTATTTTATCGACGAGTGCCGTCCCGAGTACATTTTTTTAATTAACATTTCGAACGAGCTCTACGTGTTTACGATGAATCTGATTAATTAACTGCACACTCTCGCACATGCACCGTATTTCTATCTCGTAGCTGAAGAATTTCTGTTCTTTTTAGCAGCCGATGCATTGCGCCAGGCGTACCGGAATCGCGCCCTTCCTCTGTCATTTTTAAAGTTTCATTCGTGAAGGCCCGAACACACGAAAAAACGTAAGCGCGGCGGTAAGACTTGAGACTCGAGAATTTCAATCAATCGGAATTTTCAGCGTTGCCTCAGTTTCAAACTGGCTGCTTCTCGACAGTCATTGGTCATTTCCCTCAAGTCTTGAGTTTTTTCGTGTGTCCGGGCCTTAAATCTCTCGGCATCTATCATCCCGAGCGACAGTGCGACGCTTCCGGAACGCCTTGTACATATAGCTGTGATTTTAATTAGCGGAACGACCCGAGACTAGAGAACATTTTGTTTTCCTTTTTTTTTGCTATAACTAGCGCTTTATCGAATCTCAATACTTAAAGACTGTACATTTTGAAGCAATTTCGAGAATTTTCGGCTGCTGCGGACGCGTCTAGCGATGCGTCGACGAGCCTCGTTTCGTCTCGAAGCGAGGCTGCTTCGCGCGAAAGTCACGTGGATCCTCGCGGACCTCCGCAGTCCGAATTGTTTCAAAGTTCGTAAGAAAGACGACTCGTCGCTAGACGCCAGGCGAGTTAGACAAATTAGAGACGCAGACCACACTTCGCATGTCCCATTAATGAACGTTCTTGCGGCAGAGATTAATCAGTTGCGACCTTTGTTATTGCGCATGCTGCGCGATGCAGATGGTTTCGCGTTCTCGCAAGAGGAGGGTGGCTCGGTGACCCAAACCGACGTGATCAGAGCCTACGATACGAATCTTCCGAAACCCGGCGGCATGTGATTTAAGCGGGGCGGCCGCCGTGCAGCAAGATGATGCCGGCCGCTCTTCCAAGTGGCCTGAGCGGTGGAGAACCTCGCGGCTCTGCGTTTTACTCGACTGACACGGGAGCGGGATCGTCAGGGCGACGACCGGCATCGGCGATCGTATCGACGACAGCGGACCGAGAAGAAAAGGGGACTCGAGAGAAAAGAATTCCTATCCTTCAATCGGTCGCGTTTCGCTAAGTTAGAATCTGACGATTCGAACGAACATGGCCTTTCAGTCCGCGACTGATCGCTTACGGATTATTTCATTTCGCCGGAATAAACTTGTCGCTCGTGAATTTGTAATTTGACGTGACGTTTTAGCACGGACGCGACTGATTAAGGCCGGGTTTACAATATAAAAAAACGAAATTGACCAATCACAGTCGAAAGTGAGGAGAATAATCGCCTGTGATTGATCGATTTCTTACGGCTTAGGGCTACACCTATTGTAGATCCGGTCTTAACCGGTCGTTAACATCCGAAGCAAGGATTTCTCATTGAATTACTGCGAGACCCACTTTTGCAGAAGGATTACCCCGACGTTAGCATGAATAATTATTTTGATACTCCGCGAAATTTTATTCTGATATACAATACTATAGAGACCTTGGAGTATCGGATAGCGGCGTTTTCGCTCGCGATGCATTTGAAAACGCATTTTGCGTTGGCGTCAAAGTCGCGCGCGCGCGCGGAGTCCTATATGGCAGTTAAGAGAGGAAAAAGAAAAGCGCGTCTAGTAGAACGCAAGAGCTCGTAGGACGCTACTCTACTTCTTTTTTCGAGGAACAAAAATTGTGCGAATTACGCAAGTCGTAATTGCAATCTTAAATGTGTTAAAATATATATACATCTATATATATATTTGTTTTATACGTAAATAGATTTGTCGTGCGAGATAATTGTCCCGGGGACGTATTCGAGCGAAATTTTTCTGGAGTACCTCTATATTATATATATTATATATATATACGTCTAAAAGAGAATTTATACATTTCGAAGATTAGAGCTTTGGCGATCGCGACACGATCGTTGGAGGATTACGTTCGATTTCGTGCCAGAAAAAGACTGTCCCCCTTGTCCGATATATGTATATTATGTATATTACGTTACTCTTTACCTTTCTTTTAAATCGATGACGTAGATATTTCATTACTAAACATACACGAAATTGCGTTGTTATCTAGTCAGAATCTAATACTTATCGTTTAGTTCAGAGTTTCACTCTTTCGACTGTCGCAATACACTCTTTTTTTTAAGTTTATGACTGGAAAATTTCATGGAGAAATATATATGTATGTGTGTGTATATATGTATATGTATACATATTTATATATACATACGTATAACATGTGTAAAATAACAATTGTATACACTATGTTCGGAATAAAACGGTGATAAAGAAATCGTCTTGATCCTTTATCCCTCCCAGAAGTATGTAGTACCGATTAGTACTCATTACCTAATACAGGGCAGCATCCAAAGACTTATTTTTTTTATTAAAGTATCATAGCAATAATAATCGTACAAAGCACGTGTAGATACGATACTTTCCTGAGTAAAAATGCTTCTAAATAAATCGTATGCAAGTATAATACTGAATGGCCCGGTACACCATTTTATCTTAAAAAGAACGTTTATAACAAACGTTTATGAATGAGCCATCGGCGCAGTTGCCAGTATATCGATATTTTACGCTGCCTCGCTGCGCTCGAAATAATGAGATAACTACGGTTCTCTTTTACTTCTGAGATGCAATAGCGATAATTAAACTTGGCGCTCGCACATCAATCGCCAACGATGTAATCTGATCAAATCTTCCAGCGCGCATCGAGTTCAAGTCGTCCTCGGCGGTTCCAGCTTGAGGCTGATGAAGAAGTTCTCGCGGTCCTCCCTGTAGCGCGCTTTCAGAAGGTATTCACACGCGAACGAGTTTAATGGGAAATTGTAGCCCAACGCGAATCTCTGGCAGTCCGTCAGCCAGGCTGCGATGTCGAGGACACGTCTCCTCTTTGAGTCCACGTTCTTTAAATTTCTCTCGTTCTCCGAGCGTATTCTCGATTCCAGCGTGATCACTCGCCAACGACGGAAAAACTTGCGCGCGAGATACCGCTGTTTACACGTCCAGACGTCACCCTTGATCTCGTCAATGACGTTCTGTCGCGCCGTGAACTTTAACCTGGCCAGGGTTGCTGCGAGAATACGTCTAGCTAGAGACTGTTTGGGCTCCACTGGACTCTTGTCCTCTCCCGAGTGAAGATTGTTGAAGCTAGTATTAACAGTTGAAAATTCTGAAGCCGTGTTGATTCGCGTAATTGACTGTCTTCTTGCGAAGTCCGCTTGAATTTCTCTCAGGCCATTTAATCCCAGAACTTTAATCAGAAAATGCCCAACATATGGCATGCAAGGTGGATTGCGTTTCGCTGCGGTCCAAGCTCTTTGGTACTTTGAACAACGTGGACTCTTGTAAATCTTGGACAGCCTCTCCATCGCCGCGTATCTGAAATATGCACGATTGTGTCAGTACAGAGGAACATCTTTCTATATATATTGACGAAATCGAATTATAAGGGTAAGACGAAGGGTCGGAAAGTACTTTCTAGATTTCGCGTCTTCTTAAGTTACTCGCGTAGCTGAAGGGAACCTATTAGCGACGCGAAATATCGGTAATTAAAAATCACATCGCAGCGAATTATGCTCTAGGATATGTTAAATCCAATCATCAACAAGCAGAGATACCTGCTGGCGTGATGAGTCCGCAGGTAGGACCAGCTTCTCCGAAGCCTATAAATCGGCGGAGCCTGCAGACCAGCTAGGATAGACCTACAGGATTGAAGATTGCCAAGCGTGAGACACTTGTCGGCGGCGTTGATGAATCTCGCCATGATCCTGGTCCTCATGTCGAGCTGCTTGATCGCGAGGATCTCGCTGACGGTCAGGCAGGCGATCCGGTGGCTGAAGGCGATCCACGCGCCCAGATTCGGCGCGTTGCGCGACGATCTCTGGTAGACCAGCGCCTCGATCTCGGTCGCGGGGACGCGAACGAAGAGATCGCGATCGATCGACGTGAGTTGCACGGCGAGGGTGGTGCTGTCCAAGTCCCACACGGTGATGCGAAGGTTCATCCTTAACAATCTCCGTAATTGCGCCGTGCCTTCGTCGGCGTTCTCGCTCGTCTTTCCGTCGCGTTTGCGCGCGCCATTGATGGAAAGCACACGATCCAAGAGGCCATTGGATTTCCCGGTAATTATAGCGGAATTACCGTTCTCGCCTGAGAGCCGATTCTTTCGTCGATAGAAGAATTTTCTTCTCGTCTGTCTCTCCTTCCCAAGGCGGAAGTTTTGGAGAGACGCCAAGTGATGCCTCAGCTCTCTGTCATAGGAGGCTTTACGTAAGAGATTAGCTGACAAGCTGATGTCCAAAAATCATCTTACGATAAATCTCTTCTCAATGAGAAATGCAATCGGACGTTAAAGCGGACAAGTAAATTAAATGGAAATTGAAGGAATTTCCACTCTTAAATTTCGCCGAAGTTGATACGTTTGAGTTGATCTTACGTCGACTAAAGGATAAGCATACGTATACGCGGTTTTCACGACGAGAAATATTCTTCTTGTATCACCTGTAGGCAGCCGCCGCTGCCTGAGGCCTGTACCAATATTCTGGCGTCCAGAAGAGTATCACTCCTCCTCTAGTGACGGTGCCGACGATGCTGGACCCGCCGGACGTTAAGTCGACGCAGGAGACGCTGGTTGTTAATTGACGGCGCGAGACCGGAAGCCTCAGCTCCGAATCCGAGGGTTGTCTGCGGATGTTGACTGCGCTCGGTGATCTGAAAGTCTGCACGGTCTCCCGTTCGCCAGGCTGTACCGACCACGGGCCGAGCGCGTGGAAAAAGTGCGCCGCCGAAGAGAAGCCGTATCTTCGCGGATGCCTCCGAGCCTTCGTGGACCGACAATTGTCCTCCCAGATCGTCACGCCGCTCTCGATCAGCTTACGAGGATCGACGACGTCGACGTAGCCCGAATCACCGCGATAAGGACCCAGAATCAATTCGGAATTGCACTTCTCCGGCACCCCGAAGCCGAACCGCGATATCTTCGACGCTAAAGACCCTCTTGGGCCTTCCCGATGTTGCTGCTGGCGTTTTCCATACTTCTTTTCCACGTGTTCTATAAGATCTTCTTCGAAGAGCACGTTTTGACAGTCTAAACATTTTTAATTATTGACCTAACGTTTTCACGTCGAAATATTTGTAATTTTTCCTATTCGCTTTCTCTATATTTTTTATCCTTTTTAAAATTTTTATTAATAGAGGAACTTGAATCTAACCGTGACATCGGTTGTGCTTTCCACGAACATTGATACCGACACTGTTGTCCAGCTGGCAGATGTTACAACGTGAACTTTTGCAACTTGCGGCGTAATCGCAACCACGTACGTTGCGGCTTCTTGCGAAAAGGACATTGCAGAGTCCGCCAGCGCGTTGCAATCTTGCCCGACCGTCAAGTCTCGTCTGACACGGCCAGCTCTGGCAGGATTTCTCGCAAGCGATGTAACGCGTGCGATCCCCCAGCTCGTACCTGAGATCTTCTAGGCTGGCTCCGGCGAATCTAACCGGAACCGGTGTGTAGCAGCCGTTCATCAACTCGTTGTAAGACGGCCCGAGATACAAGTCCTTCTCGGTCCACGTGGGAGTAACGTAATCGCCGGCGCCTCCGTAATGATTCCATACTCTGTACTCGGTTTTTTTTAAATATACGATGTTATTCACTATGTGTCAAGGAAATTAAACTAAAATTGACGTCACTTTTCCGCGGATTAAACGTAATTTGATAAATACCATCGCTAAATACGCTCGCTAATAATGTAAAGGGATAAAAATTAATTAACAGGAGGAAGTCTTCTAAGTAGCCAGAAGTAATTAAAAACTTCAAAAGATTACTTGACCATGTCTGGCAAATTTTTATGTTTAAAAGTGATAATTGTGTCAAAAATTCAGTGTGGTAACAGTGTGGTGACACAATTATCACTTGAAAAGGACCACAAACCTTGGTCGAAACGTTGAGTTTAAACATAAAAATTTGCCAAACATGGTCAAGTAATCGTTTGACATTGATAAAAATTAATTCACATCGATCGCCACCTGAATATCGACCTCTTGCATCTCTCGTTGCGACTCCTGACTTCGATCTCGGACGACAGCAAGTACAAAGTGCTACTGCTTGACGAGCTCGCCGCCGTTGTTTCGGATAACGAGCTACCGTTCGTCTTGTAGGCCAGTAATCTTCGTACCTGCTCACACCAGATCTTCCAAGAAATTCTGCGTCGCGCGCCACCGAGCTCGTAATAGTTAGCTCGACCGTCAACGAATCTAAGAGCAATGAGTCTGAGATAAATCGAGTGTGAAAAGTCCGCTTTCCCCGAGAGAACTTAACTGAAGATTTATCCGCGGATTTTTCGATTTCTGCTCAACGTCGAAAGGAAGCGGAGACTGTGATTTTGTTTATACTCCTCGTTTTGTCGAAGGAGTATACCTTGCCTTCAGAGTCCTGCGACGTCTCCTCCTGAACACGCTGAGCGTAACATATTCTAAGGGATACACGGACACCAGCTCGAAGCTCTCGATACTGGCGTCGATACCGGGCGGGCAGTAGAAACCGGGATTGATCTGGAGGATATCGGCGGCAACGATCAGCCTGGTTGGCGTGAGGCCCAGGGCGACCTGACGGATTCCTCGTCCGTTTCTCGTCGTCTCCGCGAACGGCGACTCCACCAGGATCGTCTCGGAGAGCTCGCGGTACTCTGACAGCAGTAACTTGCGTATCCTGTTACCCCGCGGCCGACCGGATGACCTCGTTCCGCGTGACGCGTTCATGGATAACTTCTCTCGCGCGGCGAGGAAGTGGATGGTAACGTGCCACGCGAATCATCTATGAGATTCTGCACGAACGGGGGATTTTCAAAACGCTCGAGGATCGTCCACTTGTCAGTTACCTAACCGCGCTGAATTAACGCTTCCTCGATCGAAATGTCAAGGAGTGACGCGTTATTATTTACAGACAACTTCTCGAGAGCAGTTCTACAAAGGGTAATAAAATATATATACATTTGTTAAAATTAAAGTCACGAAATTAACGTATCCTTTTGGCTACATTACGTAATTATGTCTATAATTCTGAAATGCGTTCAAATTGTGTCAATCTTAATTTAAAAAAATCTTGGATACCTTATAGATTTCGTATCCTGATTTAAGAAATAAGGATTTCCAAGATCGAGCGCGTTACGTGTGTGTCGTCGGTTTTATTTAAAAATTCAACATCTCGTCGAATTTTCTGTTAAGATTCATACATAGCCGCGATCGCAGTAGATTACATTCAAAAGACTACGTGATAAATACTGGTCGTGAAACCTCGTCTCGATTAATAAGAATTAGCTCCTGCACTCCTTACTCTCGGTGTATTGTATACGATAATAAATAAGATATAAAAACACGTACGTGTAAAAGAACCTCACCAATAGGGGGAGCGCCTTTTCACTTATATAATTAAGTCGAAAATGGTTAGCGAAACGTGCAAAAATGTACAAAATTTACGAAGATACAAGATAATTGTTGCTACATCTTTTCGACTCAATTGCATTCTTATCGACTACTATTCTCCGGATTCACTTTGATGGTGACTTTGTTGCTGAGAGCGGAAGCGAGCTTCTCGATGTTGTTCTGGAGAAGCTTGTTCGGCTCTGAATTCGTTGTTTCTTTGCTGGACGTCGCCGCGTTCTCATGAACAGTCTTCACGGGCGACTGATTTTCCTGAAATATAAAAACAAGTTCTCATTATTTCGGAGCATTAACTACTTTGCTACTTTGTGAAAAGCGTATTCATGGTTTTGGCATAAGAGGGACAATACGTGGTAGAAAGTTTCTACTAGAAACATTTGTAACGATCGTAGTTTTAATTTCTTCCACCAATCTCGTATAATTTTCCTACGATCGATTTTATTCCGCGATAACTTCATCATGAATATTTGATTTGATTTTATTAATATCACTTACGCCTTCAGTCTTTCTTCTGAGGTTCGACCTCTGCAGGGTCGCGGCAAGCTCGTTCTGCAGCCTGGAGACGACCGGGCCGTTGTCCAATTCGTCGACAACGCCGTTCTTTTCGCGACTCGGCTGTTGTGGCAAGAATTCCAATCTGGATGGCTGCTTCGTCTCACCCTCGTACGCCCCTATTCTGATGGCTACCTTGCCGCCGGGTAATTTCGAAGCACCGTTGGTCGGCGAGACCGACGCGGACGAGTTCTTGGCGAGTTCCGCAACGGGACTTGTCGCGACGTCCCTAGGGATCTTGCTCCCGGTGCCGACGTGGCGCGGACTACCGCTCGCCGAGGAGGGGCTCGTCACCGGGAAGTACGTCGGCGGTGGTTTCGGCACCGTGCTGGGCGTCTCTTTCAGCTTGAACGATTCGATGCTCTGCATTTCCACCGAGTCGTCGCTGTTTCTGCTTTTAGCAGGCAGCGGAAACGGAGGAGGTGCCGGCGGTGGCACCGGAGGACCCGTCGTCGCCGTTGTTGCCGCCGCCGTCGTCGTTGTTGTTGTCTCGTTGGTGAGCACTCTCTTCTCCTGTTCCTGAGAACGCAACAAGAACGCGATATGTTGATGTGTTGTTCCGATAAAAAGTTTACAAATAAATTTCAATATATTCCAAAATATAGAGACGCCCGCCTAGTGAGAGGGCGGTCCAGGTTGGCCTGGCTGAGGTAATATTTTTCGCAATTAATTTAAAAGGAGAAATATTTAGACACTAACATCCTGTCACGACTCTTTAGTCTTTATTCCTTTGAATTGGTGTTTACCACATGAGAGCCTCGTGAATTTTATTAATTTGTGAAAAAATTGAGTTTGTGACATCTGGGACAAAAGCGAAGTTAGATGTTAAAAGGATTTATTTTAATAATTCAAAAACTACTATTTAAGACGAGCAACGTTTAGACTATGTGTATTACATATATCTTTAAAGCGTATATATTTTTAACCCGTCGACACAAATATTAAATATGTTTAATGAATTAATAAATCGTCTTTGGACACGCGTGCCGGTGTTCGTAAATTGAATTGCACATCAACGCTGATTGTTTTATAAGTTTACAATTACTAACGTTGTAAGGCGTGATTGTAACCAGCGCTTGTTTCCTCATTGCGCCGGTTGTATTATTCGCGGTTAAATCTCTCTTATCCATACTTGAGCCTCTGAATATTTCTAAATAATTTGATACGTCATGTATCCCACTCTTCACGTTCTCCGGGAGCTATTTCTTCTTGCGCTTGCACTTTTTATCATTCAATGCATATCCAAACAGTCACGAACGTATCTATTATCTTCTATTACAATCTATTATATTTCACATGCACGGAATACGACTGTATCTCCGATATATACAGATTATGTGTTAACAATCTTATTTATGGCAGTTTTCGTTAAATCTTCTTCTCGAGATCTCGTAGTCCCTGATTTTTCCTTAAAATTTCCTTTGATCCCTCGGATGGAGGATCGTCGGTCGTCGACAGCGAGGTCTCCTTGGTCGATGTTTCGAACAGTCTCTCCTCTTTTCAGTGTTTCCGCGCTTCCCCGCTACTTTCTGCAAATTACAATCGCACGGCGACCTCGTGTCTTGCGGTATTCGTTCCGCGGGCCGCCGATCGCGCGACACGACCGACAGGCAACTGAGGAAACGCGCGGTAAGAAGAGCGCACGTTACGTCGCCTTACGCCGGCGTTCTTATGTAAGCCCTATTATTTTGCACGTCCGCCGCAATTCGTAGGAAACTGCAGGTTGCGAGGAAAAAAAATATGGCACAAGACCTCGCGTCGCGTTGCAACTCCCGATATCGGATGCCTCGCGCGCGCGCGCGACGGTATCCACGATCACCGCCGCTGGTCTCGCGACGAATGAATTCGCGAACGTCCCGATAACGATGATTAATGGACGATAAGGCGGCAACAAGCTGCCAATCGGCCTCTCGCTTGTGTAACAACGAGCCGTCGCCTGGTCGCGGGGGAAGCGAGGCAGTGATTTGTCGGCGATAACACGCTCGGGCACTCGAGAAAGAAATAACGATCCAGATGTATCTCCGTAAAAATGAGAGAAGTGTATCCCTGCGCGAGATCACTTCGTTGCGGCGCACTCTAATCTGCAGATACACGTTCTTAATCTGGAGAGACAGTCGTTCCCGTTATTCCCATTATCCCGGCGATCCGAGGGCATTCGAGATACCGCTCGGCTTCGATGACGCTTCCAAATAATAATTATAATTGGTAATTGATTTCTGCGGCAGGTTTTATTGTTGCTCTATTATCGGTGAAACCGCTATCAACAATTTTTACGCGGGAAAACAACGTATTAACAATAATCGCGATGTGTGCGACAATTAATAATTAATTCGCGACTAATATGTTATTTCCGCAGCGAGACGTGCTCTACCTTCGCACGGATATCGCTCGTACATTTTCCTTGCCGCGCGGTAATGCAAGAACTGAAACAAAACGTCGGGATATACGTGACTTTAAGGTGTGCAAACTGCTCGCTATCTCTCGTCGTTTCAACAATACCACCGGAGCAGGTCGATGTGTGCCTAACAGGTATGCACACACCCACAAACACAGGTGAACGCGTCAGCAAGGCACGCACGCACACGTGCACGCCGCTACGTAGACCGCGCGCCAACACCGACGCCAACTGTTCCGGGGTCTTCATAATTTCGTGCTCTTATCTGTTTACACCGGCGGATCCTTGCTTAGCGGTTGTGTAATTAAAAACTACTCGCTACTCGGGCCGCCTGTTAGCTACGCCTCGAAAATGCCCTCAGTCGAGAAAAGTCCGGTATCTTCGCCATCTGTTTTCTTCGACAATCTCGTTACAGCGAAATTAACTTGATACACGATGGAAGCGGCTATTGTTTCCGTGCGCGTATTGAATATCATGCGCTCTCGCGTAGCCGTTAATTCCGCACTGTTAATTACGATCATCCTTGGAAAGTTATCGCGATTGATATCGTGTGAAACCTTGCACGCATTAAGCCCCCCCCGATTGATTTCAAACGTAATTTTCTGTTATTCGCCACCGTATCGATACGTTTCATTTCGATTTCTCGCAATGCAATTTACGTTTCGTTTAAAAACTGATTTTTTTTACATTAATTTAACTCCTTGCTATAACATTGGAGCAACGATTTCTCGATTTGCGTATGATGTTAATGCTCGATCGCAATTACAACGTGCAATACGTTACGTCACTCAATTGCTCTGAAAGATACGCTTATCGCTGAACAGTACACCAGACTGGCGTCACGTGGACTATTGTTATCGCATGAAAGTTGGAGCATCGTATATTTCGAGCTCCGCAAGTCGGCAGGTAAATTCGCGAGGCTTGTGTCTAGAAGGCTTTATAGTTGAAAATTGCAACGTAATGTAAAGTACATTCAAACGGTATTAGGAGAATATTATTTTGTTCTTTTGGAATTGGGGGGAATGCGAGTCCATCGTATTCCGGAATTTAAATGGCGCAATTTTCAAGATAAACGGCTCGTAAAACAAAATTTTCCATGATTTATCCTCTCTTACCTTCTCCTGAACTTCTTTGGAAACCTGTTCCGAGGACTGCGCCTTTTGTTGAGCAGAATTGAACATCTTTTGGTGTGCACGTTTGAATTCCTCCATCAGCTGCAGAGATAAGCAAAGTGCCGATTTTACCACACTATTTTCGGTCTGGTCAGTGAATTTAAAGCTTCAATTAATTCTAATAAATAATATTGCAACAATTAATGCCGCTTAAAATACGCTACGGTTGTTGCTCGACCAACGGACTGCGTACAAATTATAGATATTCACCCTTTGTACATGTAACTTAGTTTTATACGCAATTGCGTGCAACTGACCTTATCGTGTGTGACTTTCTGCTCCTGCGACCTGAGAGCCTCGGGATTCTGTGGCTTGCGATTTTCCGGAGCTTTTTCCTTTGGCGCTTCCGCTTTAGCGGCATTGTTCAACCTCTGCGAGAAAAAAATAGAATACACGGCACGTGTGAAAATTGTGGATACATTAAGTTGAATTATTAAATAATATTTAATTAATTATCGAGATTAATTACTAATAATAAGTACAACGATATTTTATGGAACGTAATGCGTATATTTCTGGGACCGTATCTACACGGGAAATATCAAGAAATCATAGTTTCGAGAAAAACAATTTCGATGTAGCAGATAATTCAGATGTCGATCGACAAAAGATTAAACTTTTTGCGGCACACTATATCGCGAAGTACTTCAACTCATTGATAATGCTCATCAATTTCTATCACGATAGACACGAGGAATATAAAACATAAAAGATATCGTAGATAAACAGACCAATCGCAAAGATATCGTTGCAAAATACCGGTGGATATTGGAAAAATACAAATGCGTTCAACGAGAGGGAAAACAAGCGGTGTCCCGATTGCGATACGCGCGATAATTTGCACGATAGGAAAGCATTATAGAAACTATGTGTTGCCAATTACATATTTGCTCCCGCGGTTGTCCTCGTGATTTAGCGAGGGCTTATCGCGGAAGAAAATTCGCGATACGCGAGCGATTTTGTTTTCAATGTCGATCGATCGTACCTGCTGCGCTCGCCTCTGCAACTCCTGCGTTATGGCGGTGCCCAGATCGGTGGTGACGATCGGCGATGTCCTGGCGAGATCCTTGCGCGGCGTCGCGTATGCGGTCGTCGAGGTCTCCGTCGTTTTGCTGGTGACGCTGCTGGATCCGCCGCCGGCCGCCGATCCGTAAGAAACGGTGGACGCTGGCTCGCAGGACGACGTCGACAGGGACGATGACGTTGACGCGGAATCCTTGCTGCAGGACGACTCGAGGCTGGACTCGGTTTCCGTCGAGCCGGTGCTGCCCATCGACATGGTGCTGCCCATTTGCATGCCCATGGCGTTCATCGGTTTCGTCTCTGCAACAGTAGACATTCACGTTAACTCGCGACTGCAATACGAGACATCAGAAGAGTACGATCCCCTTGAATTCGAGATTTTTATCTTAGAACATGATTGAAAAATACCGAAAGGTATCACATATAAATGCAAATCAAATTGCGCCGTGTTTATGTAAGAAAGAGCGGAATGAAAAACATTTTCAATTTTTCTAACAAGCCGGAATTCCATTATGTTCTATTTGTTAAGAAAAGCCGTGAAGAACGCGCAATATTTATGTTTTCGAACGACTCGACAGCGGAAAGAGGACTTCTTTCGACTTGGCGCTCGAGTAAACGCGGTCAGTTATTATTCTAACGATGCTGCGGGAAAAGCCGTCAAACCTGCTGGCCATTTGTAAGGAAGCGGCGGCGGTGGTGCAGGTGGACAAACCGACTGATGCACCTCTACAGTCGTTATCGTCTTCCTCTCGGCTTCGCTCTGCCGCTGCATGAGTTGCAGGTCCGTCAATCGATTGCCGACCGCTTGGCCGTTTTCCTGCGGCAGAAAATTATTCGCGGCACGTTAACACATCTCGCTCGTATATTTAATTAAACCGGCTTATCCGATCGTTTAACGAGGCAACATTTTAACGTGAGAAATGACGCGATAACAAAAACAGATCACGAATGCAGATCCCTCTTACTTTGGAGCCATGGAACATGGGCAAGTCGTCCGCGGGCCCGTCATAAATCACGTCCTGCTGCCGCGCGTTATCTCGCCGATAGGCCAGCCGCCGATTAGCCTCGTCTCGAGGATTCGCGTCGAAGTCGTGCACCTCGTAGTCGATCCTGGGCGCCACGGGATCGTAAAGCGGTTCGTTGTCGATGTCATCGTCGTAATTGCCGCGTGGATTGAAGTGATACTGCCCGCCCGGTACAGGCCGGTGATTCTGGTTCTGGTTCGAGCTCTGATTAACACGAATCACTGTTGTGTTATTCGGTTTACGCGACCATTCCGGCGCCTAGAAAACGGTCAAATTAAATTCAAATGAGAGAGAGGCGTTGCATCTTTGCCTTTTGAGCGATCTCGTACGTAAAACCCAAAATGTAACGTATTCACTCGGAATACATCTATTGCGATTGTATTTTATTATTAACGGATATGGAATAGAGCACGAAAGAGAGTTGGAGATAAAATTGTGTTATTTAAAAGAAGTTTTAAAACGGACTTAGTAAATATGTCAGTATTTTTATTTATTAATCTAACGATTATCTCTGGCACGATGAACCGAGAGTGGAATCTAATTTCAAAAAGATATAATCGCCATAATGAATTTTATACAATTAACGTAGTTATTCAACGTTAGTTTACTGCAATAGAAATTTTTTAGTTAAAATAATCTTTCAAGCGCTCGTTGTATCCTTTTCTAGAAATGATAAATGTGTAGTTCAGTGCGTAACAGTAAAGGTTGATAAGCTACCGCACTTCTTATCGTACAGAACGCGCTGCCGATAAGTCAGCACTATTAAAACAATATTTCGATAAGAGGTGAAACGAACTGAACTGAAAACACTACATGCTAATTTAAATTTCGCGAGTTGAATTTAATTTATATATTTTTCTTTCTCGAATAAAACTGATGAAGCGAGATAATCTATTTAAAAATCCTTTACCTGGTCCACGTGCGCCCACTCCGAGGAGGAACTGCAGCTGGTGGTCGTCAGGGCGAGAGGGCAGCATATCCTACAACGTCACACCCGGAAATGAGGCGAAATCTGTTCGATTGTGTAAGTGTGCCCGTGCCGATTTCTAAAGAGCGGAGTTCGCGTTTTTATCGCGGGACCCTCCGGGGAGAATGAGGAACAGGCTGGATGTTTATATACGTGGCGGCAAGGAATTCGAGCTGCGGCGGACTCTACGATCGGTATCGCCGTGTGTCCTATTAATGGACCGACTTTCTCTCGGTGTGAATTCATTGATGGCACCCGATAACGGTTTGCGACCGTTGGAAATGACACGTGCGTAGCGCGTACCGTACGCGATCACACGTGACTCGCGCTGTCTCCGAGTTTGCGATAAGCGAGACGATCCGTTACCGTAATCGTAAGATCGCTCTGGAAAGTCCGCTATGCGATCCCGCAAATGGGCACATTAACGTCTAAAGTAAACTCAACGGTTCGTTCAAAGTTTCGAATTAATCGGAAGCGGCTAGTTTTGAGGACGAACGACGGAATGGTTAAACCGACCTGCCGTTTCTATTGCAGGCGTCGTCGCGCGGATACCGCTGATGCATCCTGCCGTCGTGGTGGTGATGCTGCGGCGAGGACGGCGGGTTGTTCTGATGCTGGGGCGGCGGGCTCGCGGCTGCCACGCTGGACGTCTCGGAGTCGTAGCCGCTGGAGCCGCGGGTCCACAGCGGCTCGGGACAGTCGTAGAGATGATTTGGGGATGTGGGTCGTTGCACCACGAGGTCGAGGATCGCCGAGCTGCGCATCATCTCGATGGCCCGCTCGAACGGAAGGTCGGTGAGCCGTTGTCCGTTGCACCAGATTATCACGTCGCCGGCCTTCAGGCCCGCTGCTCGCGCGGGTCCACCTTCCCTCGTGCCCTAAAGATTCACTTTTTATGAGCAAAACTAACGTCCGCGCCTCTCGCGTAGGGGCGAGCTTCTCGAGACATTGAGTCTCAAACATAAAAGCTTGGAGTAGAATGCTATTTTATATTCGAGTCGATTTTTAACATTAGTTAAAGAGTCAAAGCAATTCAAAAGATCGTAGATTTATTTTTATTGACGTAGATTAAACGCTTCTGCGGAATAACTTTGATTTTAATTGAAGCAAGATGATTGTCGCGATACCGAGGGTAAAATTTCCAGAACGACGGGCGCTTTCACATGACATGACTATATGTCCAATTAGGATGCTATTAACCTGAACGGTGAGACCAGGTACGATGCCTCTGCAGACGCCGCAGCCTAGGCGGCCCTTCTCGCCGACGAGAATCCGAATTCTGACTTCCGAGCTCGGCACACCGCCTAAACCAGTTTCGTTGTACTGCAGCTGCTGTTGCTGTTGCTGTACCATGTGCCAGGTAACCGGATCGTTCGGATTGCTTTGCGAATCATAAGCGATTTTTGTAACGAGAGGATGTCGATTGTGGAAAAGGGGGAGAAGCGCACGCACGGTGCGCGCAAGGTTTTAATTAAGTTTCGATACTTACTCTTTTACGGGTATCATCCCTACGCCTGCAATACAAATCGAAAACTATAAATTCCCGCTATCAGTAACGAGATAGAGATTGCAACACGCCGCGCGTATTACTGTTATTAATTATTTTCCCATCCGATCGCGAGGCTAACTCTCTACGCGGCGCGTAGAGAACGAAAGTTTACGCATCGAGTGTTACATTTCGCAGCGAAGATAATTAAGGCGAGATAGTTACTTCGAATCTTGAGAACCAGGACTTGCTGGTTCTTGGCCAGAAGCGCGACCTCCTGGTGGACGGCGTCCTCCACCGGATAACCGTTCACCCTCAGAATCTGGTCGCCTACCTGAAAGCGATAAGCCGAAAGCGAGATCGTTATTCGTTCCCAACATCCTTTCGCGATCTCCGTACACAGGTGGAAAATTTGTGTTTTCTCGTTAAAGAAAATGCCGGTTAAAATTGTCGTGTTAAACGTTTAACACATTCATGTGTTAATTTAACATCGCTCTTGTGTCAATTGACCGCGAATGTAAAAACTTGAAAAGAAATGTTAAAACGACACAATGTGAACTTATTTTTTAATCTTGCACAATACATACGTTCTATATTATTAGTAGCAAGATTTATCTGTGAAAATTTACAGAATAAAATGTTGATTTTATTCTATATAAAGTGATCATTTAACATACCCATGTTATGTTAAATTAACACAAAAATTTGCGCGGACCGTTTGGGACATGTGACATCTGTTAAATTTAACACAAATCTTTCAACCGTGTATTAATTGCACAATCGCACGGCTCACAGAAAGAATTCTCAACTGAAGTCGCAGATAAACGTAAATGTTCCTGAAAACCGATGCGAAAGGAAGACGTGGATTTCTGCGTAACTGGATACGATGAGAGGCAACGATCAGAGATAATTACCCTTAATCCGTTTCGGTGAGCCTCGCCACCCGGTTGGACGTCGCTGACGTAAAACCCGGCGGCGTACTCGCGTCCACCCCGCAATGAGAAACCGAAGCCGGCGTTACCGCGACGCCTCAGACGTACGTTCCTGGTGACGCCGATGACGGCCATCCTGCCGCCTCCCGCCGGGTTCCCAGGACCTCCGCCGGTCGACGATCCCGTGCCAGCACTTGACGCGCTGGAGGAGCCACCCGACCTGTCGGTGTCGTAAAAATGGCGCATATAAATAACGTCGTTTCTTGGTACTCTGCCAGCCGGGCGTAAAAAGTCGCCGCGAGAATTCAATTATTTTTTTAAGAGCTTTCAAAAACTGCGGTCGAAAAACACTCCGAGTAGCTCCGAAGCACCCTAATTAATTCTGCGGAATAATTTCCCGCTCGCAAAGGCAATACCCATTTCTTTCATTCCGTGTATCTTTGAGACGTGCTCGGGAATCTTTTACGTTTTTTTTTTTACGAGAACATTTCCTCGTCGCTGTAATACCGTCGCGGTCTCATTCCACCCTCGCGAGTAATTGTCTCGCAAAGATCCCCCATTTCCCTCCGTCGCTTCGATGCGCGAACGAGCGAGCGGACAATTTTGTACCTTTGTTCGTCCCCCGCCGGCCGATCTCCGCGCCGTGAAATTAATGACCACACCTGGCGCGAGGAAGGAAGACGCGCTAAGGAAGCGAACGTAGTGGCAAAGTGAAAGAGTCGCGAAGAGGAATTCCGCGCGGCCTCGAAGGAGAAAGAGGAGGATACGACGGACCGAGGTCGAACAGAGACACTTTGCTAATGACGCCGAGAATCCATCTTCCGACGGACATTGAAAAGATTGCATGCGACATGAAGCGACAACGCGGATACTGTAGTACCAGGGATGACACCGGGTAAATGACAGTCATTAACGGAGGAGGGGAAGAGAGAGAGAGAGGGTCTGCTCCAGATTGACTTGCGAAGGTCTCGGATAAGGCTTCTTCGCGAAGGGCTCTCCTTGTCACTCTAGCCTCGTCTAGAGACCCTGTAATCAAAGACTGGCCGTAAGAGTTCGTCAAATTCCCGCGAGTGAGAGAGAAACACAGGCTATCTCGCTCTTCTACGATCGCTCACTCGCAGGAATTTGACAAACTCTTATGGCCAGTCTCTGATTACAGGGTCTCTAGCGTCCTCCATCGTGCTCTCTTCGCGAAACGACACCCAAGGGAGGCTAGAGCTGTACGTGCCGCGCGGCGGGTCATCGGGTGTTCGGAATATCAATTTTTGGCGCCGCGCGTAGACCGGGCGTGAGAAAACCGGAGCCGCGAATTACACTCGATCGTGGGATAATAACCATTTCATTCCGTGGCCGCTGACATCGGCGATCCCCGGAATCCCGCGTTGCGTAATAACGGCGTGGGATAACGCAATTTTATTTTAGCGCTTTTAATCGCGCTCCTCTTTTTTTTTGTATATATGTAATGAGGTCCCGGGGGCGTTCGAGCGCGCCGCGACGACGGAGCAGCCGCGCGCAAAAAGTCAAATTGCTACCTCGTGCCGGAAGATCTATTATGCAATCGCGATGGGCGAGAGGACAATGGACGCGCGTGGGGATTCCGCGACAACGTGCGCGTCCGTACGGAAAGACGTACCGTTACGGTCGTCGATATCGCCGTTTGACGATCGAGCCCTGAAAGTGTTACGGCTAACGCAAACGTCGCGCGCGTATACACGCCTTCCCGGCCGCGGTGACCCGCCCATATCACGATCGCGATCGTCGTGATACTCATATGCACGTATTAATCCGGTACTCGATATTCCGCTCACGAGCTATGCTAATTCCCGCCTCCCGCGGGCACGACGTGTCGCAAGAGCTAACGGAAAAAGTTACAACGAGGAAGAGAGCGAAACGTGGAAGAGGAGGACCGAGGAGACGATCCTTGGTCAAAATTAGATACACTCGTGAAGGATCAATTAAGAAATCTCGTCCGAGATGAAGAGCTCGTTGAATAACGTCACACTTCTCTCTCTCTCTCTCTCTTTCTCTCTCTCTTTCTTCCTCTGCCATTGTCCTCCAATGTGAATTACGATATGCTTTCGGATTTGTCGCTTCTGAATTCTGACCCGCGTGAAATGTAACAGGACACTTGTGAAACGTCGATTACGAATTCTGTTTGCGTCTTATGCTAATCGGCGTCGAAGGGACGAGCTTGGGTCAGCTCCGAGGAGAGAGCCGGCACGCTCGAGTACGAGAAGCGCCGTTCCACTTATTTATTTTTAATTTGTATCATCTTCCCGCTCTCACCGTTATCACAGCTAAGTTTTCCTACTTCCCGCCCAAGTTCGCACGCTCAGTATTTATTATTGCTATTAAATTTCTGCCCGTGCACCACGGTAATGGCATGGTAATAGCGAGGTACGAAGGATGCGAGGAACGTCCAGCTCGCCGACAATGCGGAGAAAGTTGATGCAAGGCTGCAAAGAACACGGAAAGGCACGCCCTGACGGGTGTTCTCGTCCTTTCAACTCTCGTGACTGTACCTCCGGCTTGTTCCTCGCGCACGTATATCGCACAAATGGGAAGTAAAAACTAAAGGGTCTTTTTAAGGCTTAACGGGTTTAGGTTCTCTATAAGTCGTTTAAAAAGAGGATGACTTTAACTTCCCTGGCGTCTTCTTTTCCTTTTGGCAAGGGTGAGTTCGAAGACTAAAACTCTCCGTGTATCTTTCATTAAATATGTATTCAAGCAAAATTCGGAATATTGACTCGCCAGTGATTAATTAACAATTACGTCGAATAATCCGACACAACTGGCTACAGGAAAATTTCCTTTATTATGACACAACGGCCATGAGTGTATTTTACAGCATCCAGTCGGGCGTATGGCATGTGGTCGAATGCCATTAGGCCCACTTAGGCATGTCGCTACAAAGATATAATGTCTCTTTAGATATGCGTGATTGCTGTATGGGTACAGAAATGAGACTCGGTCTCATAAAGTACACTTGAAAAGGGCCAAAATCCATGGCCGAAACGTTGTGTCATAAAGGAAATTTTCCTGTAGCCGGCTGTGTCGGATTATTCATCCTAATTGTTAAACATGTATTCCCAAGGGGGAAACCGCTGACCAAAATCTTGTACACCAATGCCCACTGATGTGGGCATTATTTATTATCTTATTTTATCATTATAATGCCCCAGCAAGGCCTAATGCCCAAACTTATGCCCAAAAAATGCCTAGTAATGCCGCAAATTTGTACACTGCAATGCCCTCAGCGGTTTCCCCCTCGTGTGTTCCGCTATCTCTTTTACCTTTTATTCACGTGCATTCGGGAATAGAAAACGGAGCAGACATGAATTTTCCAAACGTGAACGGATTTTCATTAAAAACTGACAATATTTCAAGAATTCTTAGCTGTGGAAATTGAGAAGTTCGCAGAATCATTTCATTGTACTTCTATAATGTATCTCTATAAAGGCTATAGGTTCACTGCAGAAATGCCCGAGCGAGATACACATGTTGCCGCGGGTCTCTCGGCATCTAACTTTAGAACTGGTAGCAAGCGGTCGAACCAGAAGTTGACAAATTGTTACCAGACGTGTTTAAAGTACCGCTGACAATTCGCCTCGCGGTCTCCGTGATCGCGCGTACCAGCTTATACGGATAGGGTAGGCTGGTGTAAGTGTGCGCGGTCGGTAAGAGTGCGCATAAG